AAAACGTATCTGAAGTCGAATATTGATAAAAGAATACAATTTTTTTTCCCCCTCAATATTCGTCTTCAAACACTTTTGTTTTGAAAATCGTTGCAGAAGTGAGTCTTAAAGATAAACTTGAGTTCTGGTAATGCGATTGCATTGTGAAAGAAAAGGTGTGGAATGGATCAGAAAAGTTGATCATATAGCATGTAAGTAATGGTGTGTAATGCAAGGTTCTGGAGTCATCAAAATCATCATAAATTTGGCAGAGTCTTGGTAAAGTAACAATCACTTACACAGAAAGATGTATATGTATATGTTTGGCACGTGACATATATATGTAATCTTGAACATTCAGTGTAAGTTTCGTTAGATTCTGTGAGAATTCATTTTCTTTTTTTTACCAGAACTCAAGTTTATCTTTAAATTACATCCTCGTTCACATCATTATACAATTTAAGTGAAATGTTGGCATCAAATCTCTGGGGCTCCCAACACTTTAGAGAGACATTAAGGATGATGATTGTAGTCTTTTATCCATTCCTACATTTCTTTCACATAGCCGTAACGGTAAACGTGACAGAGGGGTTGTTTCTTATATCAGGGATAAACTAATTTCTAAAAAGCGACATGATTTGCGGGATGATTTGGAAGTATTCAATGATAATGTTCTAACTATAACTTTAAAAAAAAAGGTTATGAGCTGTCATTTACAATGTATAGGCCACCAAGATCTCGTGTAGATGCTATTAACTCATTAGAAATCTCTCTAGAGACAGTTATATCCGCGAAAGGAAGGATTGGTTTTTACTCTGATATTTTAACATTGATTTCTTTTTCCGAACCACTTGCCATATTGCTGACAGTTTTTGTTTATACTTTATCAACTTTGTTTTTCTTTCTCCTTTGATATTCGAACCAACCGGGGTAACACAAGTGTCCAGTACACTTCTTGATAATATTTAAACGAACATTTCAGAACGGATTATTCCAACCGGCATTTTGCTATGTGATATTAGTGAGACCTCTTTCCTGTGTTTACAAGTATGAATGGTCTATGTCCAAACTCCCATTATCGTTCCCATAGCTCGCCGATGTTTAAGAAACTGCATTTATTAACTTTCTCTGATAACGTAACGATTAAAAATTTGTTATTCGAACAATTTGTTACCACCCGTGTTCAATAATTACTTTGTTACAGTTGACAAGAAACATAATGTTAACACAAAACAAAAACATGACATTTCCTTGCCATATTCACGTTTAAAACTACGAAAGGTAAATTCAATACAACAAAAAGGAGATGAATTATGGAACAATATGGAAAGCTCAATTAAAAATGCGACCACTCTAAATTCTTTCAAATTGAAATTCAAATTGCGTCTTTTTGCCACATAATTGACTTCCCTGATGCATACAATTACCACATAAATGATGTAGTTCTGTATTATAATTGTGTTTTAGTTTGTAATGTCTTGTTTACGTCTTGCATTTTGTTATATTGTGAATTTTATTATTTTGTATTTTCCACATTTGTCATTTATGTTCTGGGTCCACCCACTTCCCTGTAGCCATCGGCTTTATCGGATGCTAATGATGCAGTACACTTATCATTGAATATATTGTATGTGATTTCTGTTATTAAACAATAAATTGAATTGAATTGATTTGATGTCTGTGATATTGACACCACTGAACAGTGTTATTTAAAGGGAAGTTATATGAAGATAGTAACATTCGTTTCTGTAGCTTAGTAAGAGAAACCTACCGAGATTTTCCTTACAAAATGGTTTCTAATAAAACAAATCAAGTCGAAAGAAAGGTAAAACAAATTTGTAGGTTCAATTCCTCATTAAAAAATACGTGTAAAAAAAGAGGCACTCTTTTACGAAAGTTTTTAAAGAATCCTCACCCAAATGAAAGCAAACTTAAAAAGGTATAGGAATTTTGCAAAGGAAGAAGTACATGTATGTAAAAAAAAAGTGAATATTACAACGCCAAATTTAACAATGTAACGTGGCAAGGTTAAAGGTACTTGAACAAACCAAAATCTAGATTACAATGTCAACATAATGGAGATTTATATCACATGGGCATATAATAGATCTGTTGGAAGGAATTTAATAAACGTTACCGCTACGAATCACTACAAAATGTTTCCATAACTTTTTAGCTCAAAACAACACCATACTATGTTTTCTAAAACCGTTACAATAAAAGTAATTTTATACATTGTGACTACTACGAAAGAAAACAAATCCCAGGCGAAGATGAAAGTATTTACTAGTATGATATCAAACGTTTTTGAGAATAAAGAACTTAGCTTTGGACTTTTCTTAGATATTTCTAAAACTTTCGATTGTATTTATAATAAACTTCATCATTATGGTATCCGTGACAAAAAACACTGATGAATTCTGTTTTATTTGAGTGACCGAAAACATAAAATATAAATCAAAGATGCGTGATATAAATGTAGGAGTACCCCCAAGGATCGATATTGGGACCGCTGTTCCTTCTTTTCATTAATGATTTGCAATATGTATATGCAATTTTTTCATCTCATATTTGCAGATGATAACAACTTGTTCATCTCTCGCAAAACTTTCACTAAAATGAATCATGCATTATAAATGTAGAATTTGAAGTCTGTCTAATCGTTGTGATAGTACTTGTGGTTATTTTAACTGACTGCTTAGAAAGGATAAATGGTTTACAGCAAACAACCCTTCAATAAATTTGAAGAAAACTTGTTATTTGGTTTTTAAACCCCCAAATAAGAGGATAAATGAAGAAGGAAGAAAAATATACACAACCACGACATTCAGCGGGTAACAAATACAAAGTTCTTGTGTGTTTTTATTGATGAAAATTTAAGATGGAGTGTGCACATAAATTATATTTGTTCTAAGGTGTCCAAACTATTGGTGCCATGATTCGGCTGAAATGTAAGGTGTCGAACCAAGCCCTTTCGACTCTGTATCATGCAATGATCTTGCCATACATTATGTATTGTTGTATAATTTGAATATAAGGACTTGGTTTGACACATGCATGGCACTGTTAGATTTTGTTTCATCACGTGAGCCCTGTATTCCTCCGAAACGATTAAGCGTTTTTATACATGAATTGAGTAAATTGAATTATATGTTATTTATTTTTCTTAACCTGATACGAAACTATTTGGCATGAACACAATAATTTATGTTAAAGATCTCGGCAATCACATTTCATAACATCTTTATTTCTTATATGTTTTGTTTTAATGTATGTCTTGCTTTGATAGTACGTTATGAGCCATGACCTGGACTACTCTTATTATATGTCTGTGACTGTGCAATTCATTTATGTTTATACTTTGTTCCTTTATTGAAGATTGACAATAAAGTGATATTAAATCCCCAAAGCCATTAATAGCACGTTTCATTTCTTTGACACGATAGCTAACAATAAATTACACTTGTCAAATATGAATTTTCTTGAGCAACTATTTTATTCATTGGAACGAGTTGGAATACTATACCTAATGATATTCAAAAAACGTAAATTTGAATTGTACCTATTCTCTAGATCTCATATGAATCTATGTGACCATCTAAAATTACCTCAACATTTAATTTTTTGTTTTTTTGCTAGTCCCCCCCCCCCATATTCTTTATTGCATGCTTTTATTACTATACAGTGCGTCCCAGATAAAACGAAACCGAGAATTATCGATGTTTTATCATAACTTAATCACAATTATAATTAAGAAATGACACATATTTGGAAAGCTTAGATCCTCCTCTTTCATTTGATGCAACTCATAATAATGCATATTTCACGCATGAGTGATTAAAATCAATTTGAAGAGAGGAAACCGAAAAGTAGTTTGGCGGGCGGTATCTGAATTTCAAAGAGAAAGTCACATTTCTAGAAAGTTAAGTTTCTGCCCTTTCATATGACACCTCATTCAGGAAAAATGAGCTAGGAATAACAAAGTTCTGTTTGGTTAAAGTAGTGCTTGCATTTCCATAATTTGATGAAACGAATTCGTTTTCACTGGCTGCTGCCGTATCAACACACGAAATTAACAAAAGACTTAACTCCGTTTCGTTGACAATCAGCCGTAGACGAAAGACTACATGCATGGCTGATTGTCAACGAAACGGAGTTAAGTCTTTTGTCAATTCTGCTTTTTGCTACGGCAGGCAGCCAGTGAAAACGTATTTGTTTGCTAAAATTATGAAAATTTAAGGGCTACTTTATACAAATAGAACTTTGTCATTCCTTGCTCATTTTTCCTGAGTGAGGTGTCATATGAAAGGGCAAAACCTCAACTTTCTAGAAATGTGATTTTCTTTTTGAAATTCAGATAACGCCCGCCAAACGACTTTTTGGTTTCCTCTCTTCAAATTGATTTTAATCACTCATGCGTGAAATATGCATTATTATGAGTTGCATCAAATAAAAGAGGAGGATCTAAGCTTTCCAAATATGTGTCATTTCTTAATTATAATTGTGATTAAGTTATGATAAAACATCGATAATTCTCGGTTTCATTTTTTCTGGGACGCACGTACTGTATACATATTTATTGTAATATTTGGGATTTTTCTCTGCATTGCTGTACACGTTTTACCCTGCTGTTAAAAAAAAGGTTTTTTGGAAATAAATGAATTGAAGAAAATATATAAATATATACACATATTCCCTCTCTACATCTTACTCTCTATATATCTCACTCTTAGTGTGTGTCAAAATGTTAATATATAAATACTGACGAATAAAATCAACGATCAATCAATCAACCAATCGATCAATCATTCTGTTTTTCATGCATTCCATATATAAATATATAACCTCCATGATGAGAACCTGTTAGCAGAATGATATCAACTACTTTTTTGTTAAAAACAATTTCGTATTACTTTTGTGAAACAGTACTTTGATTTGAAAGAAGGCACTGCCAAACAGCAAAGTTTTTGATGAAATGGAAACTCGGAAGAATGGTTTTAGAACTTGACGGCTTTACTTACATCACACCAATGATCGGATGCACCTGCCAGGAAGACTTGAGCCATCTGATGAGATGCTACCGGTAGAGCTATGATGCAAACCATCGCATAAACCCATCGTTGGTATTTTCCAAATTCACCTATCTCTCCTAAAATATCGTCAAACTTCATGATTTCTCATATGCTCTCTGACATTAGAACTTGACTGGTTGATATATCTATGTGTGTCCTCCACGATGGGAACCTCTTTGCAGAATGATATCAACTATAGAGCGTCAAGGAATCTAGTCAACATGAAATGCATAATATTGACGAATCGAAGGTCGATGATTTGAAGAACCCCTTATCATTTTAGCCTGACTACTTAGTACGGTGGTACTTTGATAAACCCCTCGTTGCTTTTGTTAAACTAGGGACATACGATGGTATTATACATGGGCTTAATTGTAGGAGATAACTGTTTACATTCTCTTAGCGATTAATTACCATTTGTTTTGGCTTGGGCAGTTCCATAACAAACCATACCAGGATTGAAGGTAAAAGGAATTGTGCACCGATGATTCTAGGTACAGTGTTCTACCATTTAATAATTTCGTGTAACATCATTTGTTGAGATTATGGGAGTCTTTTCTATTTTTAAAAATTAAATGAATGCGACAACACCAAATGCACCATTAACAACGGAAACAACATTAATGATAACAATTACAATTAAAAATAGGGATTTTTATGATAATAATAGTTATAATAATAATGATTATAATAATTTTAAAAAAAGAAGAAGAAGAAGAAAGAAGGAAAATATGAAAAAACAATAATAATAATAATATTGATAATAATAATAATAATTATGATAAAAATAATGAAAATAATAATGATAACAATAACAATAAAATTAACGATGATGATTTTAATAAATAAGAAGAAGAACAAGAATGATAACAATGAAAATGATAATGAAAACAAAATAATGATAATTATTATACTACTAATAACTAAGACGATGATGATAATAATGATAATGATAACAACAACAATATCAATAACAATAATGATAGTAGTAATAATGATAATAATAGAAATTATAATAATAATAATAATAATAATGATTGAGATGAAGAGTGGATGGGGAGGGAGATGCATTGAATTTTAGAGAAGGAATGAGGTTACATCATTTCAAAGTGTGAATAACAACAATGCGTATAGGCATTTAAAGTCCCTATTTTCACGAAGTGACGGTAGTGAGGAAAATCGTCACGCAAATTGTATGCCATTTTCATTCACTACCGTCACTTCGTGAAAATAGGGACGATTAATGACATACTACCAACATCCATAAAACATGAGGGAAGAATGGGCGAAACTTTACATCATATCACTTATCAGTTATGATTAAAGAAAATATCATAAAACTCAATATCAGAAGCATAAACCTAGAACAAACATGCTAAAATCATGTGGTAACCCCACACAATATGTCAAATTCTCATGATGTCCACATGACTTTGTTTAAACACTGTATGTTTTGTGTGTGTGCAATAGAGGCGGGACGCACTTTGGATCATCATCAAACTATATTCTAAATATATATGATGCAAACAAATTAGCTCTAAGACGAGGACCCTAACGACTACATGGGATTAGTTACAAGGTTTATTACTAACAACTTTATTTGTTTTGTTTCGTCAGATTTTTTTATTTCGACCCATTTATCAAATCTTTCTTCTATGTCGGGCCTAAGAGTAGCGAATCACTAGTCATTGTTTGTCAGGATGCTGACAGTTTTGTAATAATCGTTACCAAACAATCATGAGAATACCACTTTATTTTCTCATTCGTTCTCTTTTACCTGTCACTCTGTCACTCTCTCTCTCTCTCTCTCTCTCTCTCTCTTTTCCCTCTGTCTCTGTCTCTCTCTCTGTCTCTCTCTCTCCCTGTCTCTGTCTGTCTCTGTCTTACTCTCTCTCTCTCTTTCACTATGTCTGTCTGTCTCTGATCTGTCTGTCTGTCTCTCTTTCTCGTGGTCCCTGTCTGTCTCTGTATGTCTGTCTGTCTGTCTGTCTCTCTCTCTCTCTCTCACTCTCTCACTCTCTCACTCTCTCACTCTTACTTCCCCTTCTATGTTTTCTATCTCTCAAGTAGTAAATTGCATCCTTCAACATTTGGTACATAATAGTGTACATAATATTGCTGGAAGTGTCCATCAAGCTTTGATTAACGCTGACGACGACCCATTCATTTTTGCATAACATGTGACTTTACTTATGATCACAATTTTGATGATCTATGTACAAGGACATTATGTATGAATAAATCAAATCAAAATAAAATCAAATACTACTACTACTACTACTACTACTACTACTTATTCTACTACAACTACTACCACTACTACTACTTCTACCACTATGACTGCTATTACTACTACTACTTCTACTACTACAACAACAACAACAACTACTACTACTGCTGCTATACTACCACTACTACTACTACTACTACTACTACTACTACTACTACTACTACTACTACTATTGCTATTTCTACGACTACTACTACTACTACTACCTTATATAATGCTATAAACAACTACTAATACTAGTATACTACTACTAACACTACTACAACTAATACTACTGCTAGTACTGCTAAATTAGATGCCACACACCATAAAACATATCTAAACTAACATTGTACAATGCATTTTAGTGTTATCACCTGTAGGGGAATCTTGAATACCGCCATTCACAGGTAGGGTTACATATTTCAATTGAAATGCAAATACAAAATTGAATGTCAAAGCAATGTCGGTCAAAAGGGCAGCTGAAAGGCTCCCCTACGGCCCTACCATTTATGAAGAGATTTTACTTATCAATGTTGACTGATTAGAAACCACATATTTCAATTGAAATGCATATACAAAATTGAATGTCGAGGCAATGTCGGTAAAAAAAGGCAGCTGAAATGCCCCCCTACCATTTATGAGATGATTTTACTTATCTATGTTAACTGATTGTGCATGAAGACTTAGTAAATAGCCTCAAAAATGTACGAGTTCATGTGTTTATCATAAATCAAGTTCAAGTTTATTTTGTTTCACATTTCACAAACAAAGAATTCACATAATTGACAAAATTAGAACATAATATGAAATATACTAAAAGTGTCGCATTATATAATCAATTCTTTGAAAAGACGTCGAAATTAATTGTATTGAATATTAGGTTATACAGGGTGAAATGTGAGGAACCTATTGAAAAGCTCAGCTTGTAGATTTTAGGTTCCCATAAATAAAACTAACATTTGAATAAAGTGGTTGCAATGGTGAAGGACGTGACAATAATAACAGGTGGGTAAGAAGGCCAATCGATTGAATAATTATAGAATACGTTTAAATGACGCGTTTACGAAAGAATGCTGCAAAAGATTATGATCTTAGGTCTTGATAAAAGAAATATTAAGTTATTCATTCAATCTTTCTTTCTTCTATAGACCAGGAGCATTGTCCCGACAAAATTATAGGGGGGTGAAATCGACCCGAATTTAGGGTCTGTTTTTGGGCTAGCTTTCAGGGCTAATCCCTACAACTACGGTCACGTTGACAATCTTTTTGTTAATGAGTTAGTTCATCTAATAAAGAAACGTTGTGGGTTCAAAATTTATGAAAATATAGGCTCACAGACTACTTTGTGTGATTTCAAGGTTATTTTACAGCAAAAATATTAATAAAAAACTAAATGAGTTACAATTATCTTGTTATTGTTGTTAAAAGTATTTGAATCGCTAAACCCACGCGACGGGTGATAGGAGAAATTCTCACAAGTATTTATTGGTAAAGACAATTAATGAAATGAATCTTTTTACTAACATATTCAAAATTGTATACATACTTTGAAGAAAACAATTGTTGTTGAAAGCCTGAAAGCTTGTCCAGGGCTTGCCCGACATATCAACAAGTATTGTATAATTATACATACTGGATCGATTCCAAGTATAGTAGTTCATTTATCAATAACAGCGGCACTAATGTCCTTTGTCAAGACATTGATCTGCATTTGCCACACTCAACCCAGGAGATGTAAATGGGTACCTGGCAGGAATTAATACTTTGAAATGCTAGAGCGCCGTATGGCAGCGGTGCTAATTATAAAGCCAGGGTAATAATTGGGAGCGCCAGGAGTGTCACGTATATGACAGACATGAGCGCTATAAGAACCCACTATTATTATTGTTATTATAATTAACTCGTCACTACTATTAGGTTCCCAAGAATGAGGACACATCGATACATGGGAATATATTAGTATACCGGGAGATCACAAGACAATATAATATATTGGTCTGGGCTTTCCTCCGTTGAATAGAGGAAGGAAGAAAAAACCCACAACAAATAGTGTTGGAGTTTGCGTGATATCCTCGGACACTGGATGAATCAGCTATACCAGTGCTGGGGGTGTTTCACAAATATCTTACGTCAAACTTAACTCTAAGTTGGACTTAAAAATTATGGAGAGCCATTTTGTGTCTAAAAATAAAACATATTCAAAAGCGAAAATTCAAGTATTTTCGACTTTTTATAAATTCCACATCAAGAACATGAACTTTCCTTGATAATCAAAATTATGAATGATTTGAATCAAAATTTTATGCCTTTTAAAATAACTTTTTCAAAAGGTTTTCATAGATGCTAACGGCTCTCCATAATATTTTAGTCTAACTTAGAGATAAGTTCAACTTAGGATCTTTGTGAATTAAACACCCCCCCCCCTGGATTTATGTCTCAAGTGCTTACTGTTAATTTGATTAATCACGAAGTTTACACACCCACTTTAGTCTGTCATTGAAATAACACTAGTTTGACCACAATTTGGTCTGTGCTGTGAGTAGCGACTAATCGGCCTTGCGGACGTACGAAGGGAATGGACTTTGACAATAGTTATTTAGATTGTCGATGCTTCTCCGACACTGTCTGATGAAGTCAAGAAAACACTCGTCGTCATTGCCGACGCAAACTCTAAAGAATAAAACTCGAAACATTTGACCCACACGTCCCTCGGACTTCTTCTTTAGGCGCGGATCCAGGGGGGGGGCCGAGCGGGCCTTGGCCCCCCCCCCCCGCAAAAAAAAAAAAAAAGAGAGAGAAGAAAGGAAAAGAAGGAAAAGGGAAAGAGGAGAGAAGGAAAAGAAAGAAGAGAAAGAAAAAGAGAAAAGGGGGAAGAAGGAGATCGGGGGGGGGGG